AACAGATTTAGGGAGAGGGGAGAACGTTCCGCCACACAAGGAAGGTTCTTCAGAGTCTCAGGAAAACAGGATGTCCATCCCATTCAAGTGCCAAGTTGACAGAAACAACGCACAGAGGGAGGTGTTCTGGGTGTCTGATATGCAGTTAGGACATTCCCTCACCCTGAAGAATCCGCCAAAATCCTCTGGAAGACCTCCTCCCAATGCCTCCCTTTCCTGCAGGAGTTTTACCCAATAAACATTTAAAAATTAAAGCCTTACCCAGCAAAATCATGCCCCTGTCGTATTTCAGTCCATGTAGCTTTGTCTCTGACTGGGAGTTGTTTGGAGAAGCTCCACCTGTCTCAAGGGGCCTGGTGGCTGTTCCCTGAGACTGGCATCTGAAACACAGGGAGGAATTCAGTGCTGCCCTAAGCCAAAGTCCTTCAGCCGCAGCCTAGTTCCCCTACCTAGTGGAATGGCTTGTGACAAAAGACGGCGCAGAATGTGTTACATGCTTGTGAGTGTTAAAGTTGTGGGTGAACAATATCAGACGACACAGCGATTCTTCAAACAGCTCTTGTTTATTCATAGGCCTGAACTGAACTGAAGGGTTCAGCCAACCTGCTTATATAGAGCTCCACTACAATGCAACAGTAACCAACTTTCTGTAAACTATCCAATCACTGAATGTCACTTTCAATCCCTTATTTGCATATGTGGACTCTGAGTGAAAACTATCTCCAAGTATCCGCCTGCTGCCCAGGGTCGAGAACTGCAGGTACATACAGTGGTGAGCAAAACAGACCGCCAGCGCTGGTCCACCCTGCTAAGCGAGATTCCCACAGGCTGCTAGTCAGCTCCTGGGCCAAGTTCAAGGGTCCCATATCCCCCAAGACCAGGTGACTTGAGGGAAGGGGCTTATGCCTTACACACCACGAGATCCTGCAGTTTGGTGGGAGTGTCTCTCCTCCACACCCCAAAAAATCTCACAAAGCCTTTTGCAACAGTGACTCTGTAGACAGGGCCTTGAAGGGGCTTGTGCCTCCTCTTCTTATGAAATATGCGTTCTCTGTTTTCTGAGGGACATTGCTGCCAACGATGCGCTGGATAATAGTGGCTTTTCACTACAGAGCGGTTCCACTTGTTTATGGTTTTAATAAATGTGCAATGTAAGGAGTTTTATTCACGAGAATCAGTCCCGCTTGCTAAATCAGAACTCCTGTCCATTAGGGCGAGCAGCAGATGTTCTCCAATTCAAAAAATGCAAGGAAGCCTGCGAATTAAAATGTTATGAATACCACAACTTACTAGGCACGTCGGTGTTTGTGTGTAAACAAAAGCATGGGAAGCAATCAAGGAGCATTCGCAGCTACTTGAGAAAACATTCAGCAAATGCATAAGACCAGGGGACATGAAAAAAAAGAAAAGAAAAAGATCACGTGGTGACTGAGTTTCTGAGTCATTTCCAGGAAGGGAAACTCCCAGTGCCTGGAAAACAGAGAAAACGAAACTTACCGTAACTCGGGACTTTTGCCTGAGGGAGCCATGGCTGCTGCAGGGGTCACATCCAGCGTCTCCGTGATGAAGCCACTTGCTCCATCTGCCTGGATTACTTCAAGGATCCAGTGGCCATCCCAGAGTGTGGGCACAACTTCTGCCGATCCTGCTTGATCCAGTGCTGGGGGGAATCGGAGGCAGAGGCTTCCTGCCCTCAGTGCAGAGAAAGAGTCCAGAGAAGGAGCCTCGTCTCCAACAGGCAACTGGCTAACGTGGTAGAAATAGCTAAGAATCTCAGCTTTCAAGAGGGAAAGGAGGAAGGAGGGAAAGGAGGAGTCTGCGAGGAGCCCCAGGAGCCCCTGAAGCTCTTCTGCAAAGTCCACGAAACCCCCATCTGCCTGGTGTGTGACAGATCAAAGGAACATGAAAATCACGAGGTGATTCCTCTGGAGGAGGCTTTTGAGGAATACAAGGTAGGAGATCCCTGGATCTGGAGGGGGAGAAATAGCTGTGGATTCTTCTTGGGAGGTTTCTTCTTAATTCTCTAAAGCAGGTGTTACGGAAAATTCCAGGTGCGGAGTTGTCCTGCCACCCAGCTCGTCGGACTAAGTCCGCGGGTCCTAGCGGGAAAAGTAAGCTCAGCCGGACACAAGAGCAAACTGCGGAGATCCAAGGTTTATTGCGCAACAGGTTCAAAATGGCATTGAACCCCGAGGATGGGGCGACATAAACTTTTAAAAGTTCCCTCCGTGTCCCAGAATACAGCGCAAGAAACGTCATGAATATATTATGGGAAGGTTGGGTTTCATGGATTGCATCATGAATATATTACACACGTCATGAATATCTCAAGGAAAGGTGGGGTTACACTGATTAACATTTGGGATAAGGGAGGGGGAAATATGCAGAGCGGGTGATATACATAGATAAACATTTATGAAGTACCGGGTGGTGGCAAGACAAAGGGCCAGAGATATGCATCGTCTGCCACCTAATATTGCCCGGAGGAAGGGTCAGGCGAAACGATCTGACAGGATTAGAAAGTTCCTGTGTACGTGACCCGCCGTTTCGGGGATTATGGAGGTAGGGGTCGCATCATGGAGTCCAAAGGGAACTGAGTAGAATGACACCAAAAGCAAAGAAATCGGAGTTACGGTTGATTTTATATCAATTTCCAAAGATTTCTATGCTTTCCGACCCATTCTGTATCGTTGGCCAAGATGGGAAACAGAACGGATATATTGTTGCAAGAATGGATACATTGTAACAGGATTTTGACAGTTTTACGAGGTCTCTGGTTTCGGATCCATTGTTCTCACAGTGGGGGGCCGTCAGCAGCTTGTCAGGAGTGAAATGAGGCGTGCAGTAGCTCCCTGAGCTAGCTCCTGCAGGGCGAATGCATGGCTGTGATTGGCTAAAGCGGAGCTCAGTATAGTGAATGGGGTTCCATTATGATTGCGGTCTACTCACGTTAGGAATAGAGCGAGAGGAAGGCATAGGAAAGATCGGGGCTTATTTCGCCCGTATAGAGATAGAGGAAAAGAGCCTTTTATTATCAAGGCAGGGGTATAGTGTGGTGCTTGTGCAACGGTGTGGGGGATGAGGGTCGTAGGCAGAGTTGGGCACTGTCGAGGTCATCGCCTCGGGCCCATTCGGGAAGCGATGGAGGGGAAGATGGTTGCCCCCCCCTCTCCTTCGGTATCACAGGCATGACATGAATTGGTGGCTGTTTATTTTAGGAGTCATTCTGCAAAGAAACAGAAAAGATGATTGTAACTTTAAGAACTTTTTCTGCGAGTTCTGGCTGTGGGTTTCTAGGCTGAAGAGGTATAAAAGGAGGTGATGAGTAAAAAAGGAGAAGTTGCAGTTTGAATTTGCCTGCAGAGAGAGAACTCCCACATGCTTTGTGTTTTTGTATAGCTGTAATAAAACCTTTGCTTGAGTGTCTTACACCGGTCTCGTGGTTCTGTCTCTGCCACCAGAAGAAAAAACACCTCTAACAGTTTATTATGTAAAAAGCAGCCAAGAGGAAGCCTGAGGACTCCTGGAGGAGGGAGTTGAAGTCTTTCTCTCTGCCAGGGGGACAAAGGGATCTTCCCTTGAAATACTCACAGCAGCTTGAAAGATTTGAACTGGGACCGTGGGAGGAAGAGAAAGGGTTAACCTCATCCACATCCCCCAGCAGGTTGCTTTGTACATATGAAGAACACTGCAAATGGAAATTGCACATACACAACCAAGTGCATGTTTCCTTTGGCTAGCAGGATGCGTCCTCAATGCCCTGCAAAGCAGAGAGCAGCAAGGGATCAGCTGGGGGGGGGGGGCGGTGGCCAGGAATTGACCAGATGGTGCAGGATCCTCCCCCGAAGTAACTGTTGGAAGCAGATTTAGGAGTGATGGGGTGGAAGCTCCTACTGGTGAGGAGCAGGCTTATTCTGGGGGTGCTGTGGGGCCTGAGGTTTGGGGGGGCTGAGGATCTCCTTCCATCCCAAAATAGTAAAGGACTCAGTGATTCCAGAGTAGCATCTGCAAAGACAAGGGGGAAAGATGACTTTTCCATGACAACTCAGAATTGGACCTGTGCTATTATACTGAATATAAAAAATAAAATTATCATTCTTGACCCTGCCTTAGCCCTTCCTCCTCCTCCTCCTCTTCCCACTTCTCCCTGGGACCTTCAAGATGGGAAGTCAGGCTAGAACTTTCCTCAAAGAAGTTCAAAGGAGCAAACATGGCTGCCTCTGCTCTTCTCCAGACTACTTACAGTGGTACCTTGGGTTAAGAACTTAATTTTGTTCCTGAAACTGTTCTTAAGCTGCTGGCACGTGATTTCCGTTCTCATCCTGAGATAAAGTTCTCAACCCAAGGTACTACTTCCGGGTTAGCGGAGTTTGTAACCTGAAGTGTTTGCAACCTGAGGTACCACTGTAGTTGCACTAGAAAACTTTCCCATCCCAGTTCTGCTGTGTTTTTCAGCCAGTGTGCTGTGGCACCTGGAGTGCCTTGAATGATGCTCAGGGGGGCAACACTGACCTCTATCCCTCCAGCTGTTTGTTGCAGCATCCCTGGCTACAAGCTCCGCTGGGGAATGGTGCCTCTGGGGCTGGCCAGGGGGTGTGGGCTGCCAGGAGCTGAGGCGGCCTCGGGGAAGCAAGGAAACTGGCGAGGGGCCCTTGCTGGGTGGGAATGGACAGACAAGTCCCAGGCCCCTGTGGGGCAGTGTGAGGAGGCACCTCTCTTTGGGGCAGCTCAGAGACCAAGAGGAGGACTCCTAAGGAGAGGGGAGAGGAGGCTGAGAGAGCCCTCCACAAGGGAGGGTGTTCGAGAAAGGGTGAGGGGCTGCAAGCTTTGCAAGCAAGGGGGGGGGACCCAACTGGGATCCCGAGCTCCACAGGGACACCGCAGAAAAAAGGTAGTTGGTCAAGGGAGTCATGCACCCAAAAATGTTGTACTTTTATTTCCTCTAGTAAAGTACTTCACTATTATAGCAAGGCCACTGGAACCATGAAGCCTGTATGATATTAATCTTCTCTCTATGTGTCTCTATCAAACCTGAGTCTTTCCTTTTCTCTTTAGGAAGAGATCTGTCGCCGCCTGGAGATTCTGAGGAAAGAGAGAGAGGAAATTCTGGCCTATCTAGCAGCCCTGGACAAGGAATGCAAAGACCTCCTTGTAAGTGCCACTCTTGTTACTAGGGAGGGAAGAAGCACTTGAAGAGTCGAGTCAGGACTGAGGAGGGATGGGGAAATCTGCCCATTT